CATTGTACTTGAGAAAGCTTCTTTTTATTTCTTGTTATTAAATTATCATCTTTGTTGGTTTTTATTTCGTAAATAACATTGTCCCTTGTTCGCCTATTGGCTATGTATTTGTCTCCCATCTGTTCATTTTATCTTTATTTCGTATTTTCGAAGTATCTCTTTTTCTTAACAGTATTTTGCATTATTATCTTTTTTAAGTTAAACTATGCTTTTGTAAGTATTTTTGCAGTATTTTGGGCGTACTTTCGTTTTACGTTTTTAGCTTTGGCGTTATTTCGTCTTTTAGCTTTGGCGTCATTTCGTCTTTTCGCTTTGGCGTTATTTCGTCTTTTCGCTCTGGCGTTATTTGGTTTTTTCGCTATGGCGTTATTTCGTTTTTTAGCTTTGCCGTTACTTCGTCTTTTCGCTTTGGCGTTATTTCGTCTTTTCGCTTTGGCGTTATTTCGTCTTTTCGCTTTGGCGTTATTTCGTTATTTAGCTTTGGCGTTATTTCGTTATTTAGCTTTGGCGTTATTTCGTCTTTTCGGTCTGGCGTTATTTCGTCTTTTCGCTTTGGTGTTATTTCGTCTTTTCGCTCTGGCGTTATTTCGTTTTGTAGTTTTGGCGTTATTTCGTCTTTTCGCTCTGGCGTTATTTCGTCTTTTCGCTTTGGCGTTATTTCGTCTTTTCGCTTTGGCGTTATTTCGTTATTTAGCTTTGGCGTTATTTCGTCTTTTCGCTCTGGCGTTATTTCGTCTTTTCGCTTTAGCGCTTTGGCGTTATTTCTTTATTTCGTTATTTCGCTTGGCGTTATTTCGCGGGCGACAAAGCGAAAAGACGAAATGTCATATATCAGCCACCATACTTATCAAACTGTTTTCTCAACGTCAAAGGGTCATCCAATTAACTTGACCCCACTGTCCATAATTATTGTACAAGAATTATAACACATTTTGCCATCTGAAGCTTGATAGTCGACTTTACAACTTTGACAAAAGCATTAACTAACTCGCAGTCGTACAGCGCGCGCTGATCTGTGACGGCCCTGATTATGTTTACGCAATCAGTGTCAGCCACAATACACACGTGAGCTCGAGTAGACGGATCGTTTTCTGCGACAAAGATACAGAGTTTCCCCATTTTTAAAAACTTAGTAGTCAATTTAGCTTTAGTAGCCAATAAAAAATAAAAGTAGCCAATGGCTACTTTGGCTACCGACAGCGTGAGCCCTGATATCAGTAGGTCTGTAACATATGTGTCAGTAGGTCTATATAATATGTGTATTTCAAACATTTGTAACGAACCCCTGTGCAGTTTAACAGACGATGTTTCTGATAAATTGCATGGGTGTTAAAATTGTTTCCATTGCCGGCATCGGTGATTTCAACCGATGCGCATTTTGAACGATATAGACGTATCAACACGTAATTTCTTAAGCGGCCTCAAAGTGTTATGTCAAAGGTCATGGGGGAAAAACCGCTTATGCGCTAGCAAAAACTTGCATGGCGGCCAA